TTTTGACTGCACACTTGCACTCCCCGCCTGGCGGTACCTCAGCACACGGCCCCGACCGCGACGACCTGCTGAAGCAAAGTTGGAGTCCAGCTTGGTCTTTGGACTTGCCCTTGCTGCTGCCCTTCTTGCCCTGCGGCTCGCTCTGGTCCGACTTCTTCTGGTTCTTCAGCCTGAGCAGCTCCTCGCGTTGGTCTTGCATCCGCCTTTTCTTTGCCGCCCGCTTGTCCCGATTGGCTTGCTTTCGCCGATCGCCATCTGCGCACTCGGAATGCCGTGGTTGCCAGCTACTCCTGCAAAATGGGCTCCGGCAATGGTCTCGGCGGCAGCTACAGGTGCACCGCGGCCTCCGGCAGCAAGCCACGCCACCGCAGGGTGTCGAACTTGTTCAGACCAAAACGTTTCATCTGTGGTCAACACCTGAAAGCAGCAAGTCCAGGGCGAGTCCGCGCCCCAGTCCGAAGGTGTCGGCTTTCCCTGGGCAGCGTCGGCCAAGATGCTCCTTCGGATCTTCTCCAGCTTTTCCGCCCTCGCCTTGTCCTCGGCCTGGCAGATCAAGCCCCAAGCGGCAGGCCATTGCACCACCAGCCTTTCCACCATTTTCTCGTAGTTCAACAAGGCCGTCAGCGAAACTATCCAAAGCATCAGCGCAGCTGTCTTGAACACTTTCCAACAAGCCTGCCACTGCTGGAAATTTTGAGGACCCGGCAACTCTCTCATCAGGTAGCTCCCGTCGCCCAGGGGGGTGTAGACACGAAACTTCTGCAGCTTGAGTGCTCTCCGTCCGAACGGGACCCACACTCCGAAATCGACATACGGAGCCTGCTTCAGGAGGACGACTCTTTTGTGAAGGCCAGCCAGTTGAGCTGCCGTGGGCTCTTCCTCCTCCTCAGGAGGGCCTCCCATCAACAGCGTGTACTTCTGGAGCCACGACTGCACAAGAGCCCCTTCAGGGGGTAGCAGTTCACTCTCATCCGTCTGGTCCACCAGCGACGCCATCTTCAACACGCTTTCCTTTACTGCGGCATGCGGAGCTTTCGAAGCCGTCACCGGAGTCGATGGGGTTTCCCATGGGTCCACGTCCACGAAGTCCTTCTCGTCGCCGCCCCCTTTCAGAAAAGCCATCTTCCTGCAGGAGCGCCACACCAGCCCCAATTGAGCGGCTTGCACTACTGTGGCCCCTTGTGCCGGTGCCACTTGGACACTGCTGATGGCTTGAGCGATGGCCCACTTGGTCAGAGCGGCCACTTGTCTTGTATCAGAGCCCGGGTCGCCCATCACTGCGACCAACGCCTGCCACAATGGCCCCGCCACACCCAGCAGCGTCAACAGGTCCTGCAAGGTGTTGCATGTAGCCAGCTCGGCTTTGCTAGGCAGCACAGACATAGCCAGCCGCTCGCGCTCAAACACACGCACCGCCCATGGAGAAAAGAAAAGAGAGGCGATGCAAGCTTCTGCTTGCCAAGCTAAGCCCTTGAGGCTCAAAGCTGAGGAAGCTTCTAAAGCTCAAAGCCCACCCTCCGCCCTAATGTGCAATACATGTTTGCCTGTGCTCATTTCATTCGCTTCAGACAAGTCAGCTAAGGCTTGCCACGTGATGTAGCCAGGGGCACTTAAGTGGGCGGTTAGTTGGGATTAGTAGTCACGAAGTCACCAAGGTACCCCCAAAGGAATTGGTATACTTAGTATTCAGCCTGGAGCTCGTCCTTTTTGTCATGGTGGCCAGTCGAAAGGCAGTGAAGCTGCGGGACGAAGTACTCGAGTAATCCTGCAAGATGTTGCTGCTTTCCGCGCTTCCTGCTTTGCGGTGACCCTCTGAAGAACAGGTCTACCCCATCTATGCTTGACTTGACAGCAACAACGGCTCCTCTCAAAGTCATCACAGAGGAGAGATTGGAAATCCGGGAATTCTTGAGCCAGGCACGTCAACGTATCCAAGATTGGCGGCCAATGACTGACAAAATCCGAGTTCGCGCTCGCGAAGGGTGCTGCAATAGCACCTGCTTTCCCCTGCTGCACAGGATATCGCCAGATCGACGAGGCATGCATCGGCTTTTCCATGTTTGAACTGAATTCCCTTCTAGCCCTTGCACAGTGAAGGCCATTACGCAGAATCTCGTCAAGGACATTTAGCTGGTCCATCGTGACCAAAGCTGCGCTAAGCTCCTGCAAGACTGCGGCAAGGACGACATCTCGATCTGCACGGAGGTGTGCAGGGGCCTTGCACAGCCAGTTGGGCAGCTTCACTCAACTGCAATTACCTACTCACCGTGACCCCAAAGATGAACGTTTGCCCGCGTATAGTTGTGTCCTCGGCCCGGCACAATGCGCAAAACTCGCCAGTCTTGACTGACGGCCGCTAGCACAACCTCCAGCATACAACCATGGCAGCAGTAGCACAAAAGTACCGCCCTAGGCCACCAGAAGCCCCATTATGTGCATCTAGCAGAGACAAAACAGGTCAGTAACTACCATGCCAGTGACTGATGTTGTACAGAAACTTGCTCACGCGGTCTTTCTAGGGATAGTTTGGGAAGGGAGCAACCTAGGGCGGGGCTTTCACAAGGCTAGTACTGAGCGATGACATGTAGATAAGCTGAGATTAAGGCATCTATGAGTCATTGGAAACATACAAAATGCAGGCAGGGATTGGCTTAAGAGGATCGGTGCCGATCTTGCAGCCTAAGCTAGTCTTGGATTTTGCAGCAGCTTCAGACCTGTGCAAGAGAAGCTAATAAGCTACACCCCTTACACGTCAAGAGCCACACCCTTGATCCAGATTTTACTGCACGCACGACCACACATTCTGAGATCACAAATTCAGAGTTTAGGCAGGAACCTCCTTGTCAGCGCAGACATCCGCAGAAGCAAGGGATAACACCCAGGCATCCTTCCTTCCGAGGACTTGCTGGTGTGTGGGATCAGGACTGGCAAGCCTGGACTGAAGGCTTGTGGTTTGGTTTGAAGATGTCTGCAGCACAAGTCTGAGAAAACTCAAACCTCACGAGACCACGTTAAAGAAATCCAAGAGAACAGCAACAAAAAACCTCAAGATACTACAGACAGCAACTCTCAGAGAGAGGAAGGTCTGCCCTGCCTCGCTGCGCAGAGGACTACAGTGCGGTCCCCATGAAGTTCTGGGGCAGCAAACTGCAAAGCCCATCCATCCTCAAAGAATTGTTTTCGACGCCCTTTTGCGTGTGCCAATCAGGGGGTGCTGCTGAGGCATTCTGCTTTCCGTCATTCGTGGTTCACAGTCGGACTTGGCGCATCTGAAGCGCCGCGCAAATGAGCTCACGGTACGAAATATTTCAATCAGACAGCATGAGAAGGTAAGATGGAGCGGAGGGTCACGAATGAATTGCTTAAACAACCAGTCGTCCGAATCATAACATATAAAATGAAGTGCACTCACCACACTGAAAACTTGTGATCAACCTGGTGCCCTTGGTTGCCTTCCCTCAGGTGGTCCTGCTCCACCGCCGCAAGTACAACTTCACGATCTGCCTGCATGTCAAGCAAGCAAGCAAGCAAGCAAGCAAGCAAAGTCCGAAAGAATGACCCCTCCCAATGTCAGGGAACCAAACTGATGGCAAAATGTTCCCTAAGCAAATTCGACATGACCTTGCTGCGTCATACTTGGCGTGAAGGCCAGAGTACAACGGCTGTTGCCCCTTGACGCCGGCATCCCTCGACCCGGCGGTCTGCGCAGCCGAGAAGGGGGTTTAGAAAAGACCTGCTTGGCGAAAGTCTTGGACCTTGCTAAATGAGGTGATGAGACATCTTGATTATGAAGGGCGAGCCTACCTGCCAGATCTTACATACCAAATTCAACCCTACGCGCAGTACACTTTGCAGCCTCCTATTCCGAAGAAAGACTCCTCAAGCGGCAGCAACCACTAAAATCTTGTTGCTCGAAGGGAGCTGTGGTACAAACTTGATGGACGCCTGCACTGCCCCTTTCAGCAAGATACCTGCAAGTGTGCCGGAGCGTGCTCCAAGGCCCAACCATCCTCCGCGACAACTTTCGAGGGTAGAGGGCTTGTTTGGTTTGGGTTGTAGGAACTTAGGTATCTCTAATTGTAAAACATGCGTTAGGGGTTGTTCTTAGTCGGCTCCAGGTTGCAAAGTACTGAAATCTGGCTCAACGTGGGTGATGCCATTATTGGGAGGCAACAACTATGCAACTTCGTAGGCGTTCGCAGACTTGAAACTGGTCAGTCGTGATCCTGTACTAAATTGTGAGTACAACTGTACAGCGACAAGAATTCAGCAACAGACTCCCGCAACTAGAGGTGTGCACAAAGTTGTGGAATGACATAGAAATGGGTAGGCCAACTGTGCTATGAGCTCCGGTGAATAAGAAGCGTCGCTATCCACTCAGTCAGGCCTGCTGACAACCCCATCCTTGGGATTAGCAAGTACTCCAAAAAGCTAGGTACTTTGTGCCTCGCAGTGCCAGGCTCAGGCCATATCAGCCAGATCTATGAAGGACATGCTGCAAATTAGAAGTCGGATGTTCGGACTTTGTTCGGATTTACCTGCCCTCAAGCTAGTGAACGACAAAAATGCTCTACACAAAGAGTCGCAGAGTCCTTTCGCACCGCTGCTAGAACAGCCTGGCACGATCGGAGCAGCTGCTGCCACCACCCTACGCGGAAAACGGATGTTCTATGAAGCATGGCTGTCTACGCAGCGGTTGCCCCAAAAGCATCTGCACAAGCCACTGTGGAAGGAAAATGTGTGGTAGCAGTTGAGGAGAAGTCACACACAGCGAAAGGCACTGCACACCACAGCTTTGGCAGCATTCTTATTTTCCACGCTCCAGGCTACACCACGAAGACTGAAGCTGATCCATGCTGCGCCCTCAAGAGATCACCCGACGATCTCAAGACTTTGCAGCCAGCAGGCAGAAAGGCCTGTTCCTAGTAGAGCTAGCTTTCCTAGTCGAGCTGCGTGTTCACGAGAGAGGATACGCGTCAAACAATGTTGGCTCGATGTCCCTAAATCCAGGACTCGAATTCCCGGAGCATCTCTTGCACTTCTTTCTCATCCTGGTCCATCACTTGCGGAGGCATCTTTGGACAGCATTCCTTCTCGAAAAGGACCTGTGCCTCTACCGTCCCCTCCTTCAGAGGCTCCTTCTCATCCTGGTCCATCACTTGCGGTGGCATCTTTGGACAGCATTCCTTCTCGAAAAGGACCTGCGCCTCTACCGTCCCCTCCTGCGGAGGTTCGGCACCGTTTATTTTTGCCGCTTGTGCTTTCTCAGCCTGTTGCTCTCTCAGAAGCTGCTCAACATGTCTGCGGAAGGTGTCCCTCTTGTCGGGACTCAACTGGTCATAGCCCAGGATGTATTCGCCAGTCTCCTCATCTTTGTCAGGGTCAGAAAGCTCAATCAATTTGGTGAGGTTCTCCTCCTCGAGTTCATCAATCATCTGTTGTAGCTGCTTCTTGGCCTTCAGCTCCTCTGGGTTGGGCTATTGACACGTAGAGAAACCTTTGAATCAGCTACTTACCATGACCGCAGGAAAATTGAAAGAGTTACCAGGTCCTGCAGCTCGATTTGTGATTTGGGTTCCCTCTCTGGTGTGGAGCTCCTGCTGGTTGGTGTTGGTGTCGTCGCTGGGGACGTTGCAGCAGATCGAGATGGACTGGCCAGTCTGCCGATCTTGGGGTGGGAACTGATCTCCTCTTGAAGAAGTGGCCGCTTCATACCTCGAGGATTGCATACCAGCCCTAACCCTACGACCACGAACATGCAAACACACCTTTTTGCCAAAACCCGCCTTTGGGTTCTGGGGAGCTTGGAGCCTTCGGAAGCTTTGAAGTTGCAACCGGGGGCATGTGGCCTTGATCTTCTTCGTCGCTTGGACAGCGCTCAAGTTCTACTTCTCCAGAAACGCCTAAAGCCGCTAGGTACTGCTGCAAAGCGCGAAGTTCGTCTTCGTTCAGCCGTACCTCTAAAAAGCGACAGCCTTCCACATGGACCTTCTCAATCTGAAACTTGGCAGTCCCAACTCGAGGCATTGTGCTACAGCCGGCCGATGGACTATGTGAAACACGATTGTATTGATGGTCTAACCTTATGCGGTAAGTTGAATCCGCGGCCCTCGTTCAATCCACGGCCGCTATCTAGTTCACGGGGCAGTGTCCCGGATGCACAAGTACTGACATAGCATGTGATGGCTACTCTTCAGGTCTGTTGCGTCAATAAATGCGGGTGCTCTTGTGAAATTCATGTCACCTGGACTACCGCAGCAGACTGGGTCAGGAGGAATCCCACAGGAAGCGCATGTGCTCAAGAATCAGGTCACTCACAAAGCAGGCAAGGTCCGACAAGCATGCATGTCAACTACAAGCACTGCAACAATTACACTGCCTTTGTGACTGCCGACACCATCGCCAACGCTCTGAACACTCTAGACTCTAGACTGCTCCAAGCAACGCCCATGCGAGCTACAATCTAAACTCCTAGATATTCCCCTGTAGGATCCCCGATATCACCCCCCCCTTTTAAGGAGTTTAGACTGTAGCTCAGGTGGACTGCGCGGGAGCCTCACGGGAGCTCTCCGGTTTCGCCGAGGCTCCAGGCGCTTGGCTCTGGATCTGCACCTGGCCAGGATCATACCCCTCTTAGCCTTGATTCCTTTTGCGTTTAGCAGCTTCAGGTTGTCGAAATGACGTTCCCACTAGATGTGCTGACCTCACACGCTTGACATTTAGATCGGTGTCCCAAGTCTCGATCAGTGTCACGTTGAACTGAAGCCGCTTTTGATTTCCTCAAGCAACCAATAACAAGCTCCACCAGGCTGCTCTTCAACCTCCGAGCTCTTTTGGGATAACTAACAGATGGTCTGGCCGCTTGCAGCACCCCGGTTGGGTCAACGCTAGGTCTACCTGGCCTGTGGCGGAGTCTAAGCTGTACAAATCTTCGCTACAATGGCCATCGCACGCTGGGAACCAGCACCAGTGGGTGCTCACTTCGCCGCTCTGGCAGCGCTGGGGTTTTGCAGGCCCTGGGCGAGAGGTGATATACAGAAAGTGCCACTTGCAAATACTGACACGTGTCTTCATCATGGTTCTGATAGATAACAATCATCACTTTGTAGACCGGTACATGATGAGGCCAAGTGAAGTAGATGGTAAACCCTTGCATGGCACCGAACATGAGACCTTTGCTGTGCTGTCGGAATGAACTCAGCTTTGCAACAAGCTCATAAACACATGACGAAAGACCTAATGAAAAGCTCCATTTGCTCAAGGGTCACATGTAGTTCGTTGTCATGAACACCAGTTTCAGCTGTTCTGGTCGATTGAGCAAATTTGAGGCCCGGCGCACTTTGCAGAAGTACTAGATGCTCAATTGGTAGAGCTCTGTAACACTCTGTAATCCGCATGCCTTGCCTCGTTCTCCTGAATGCCCGTAAGCTCCACCGCTCCGGTATCTGCAGCTCCTCCAGAACACGACAAACTTGGCAATGATCCCAGAACAATGTCATATCCTTAGCCTTAGAGGCATCAATAATCATCATAGGGCAAGGATGCACCCAATTCACGGCCCAGAGCGCGACCCTGGCGCTCAAAACTGAAAGAGCTTGGTTGCTGTAAGCATCAAAATGCTTTGCAAGCTTGCATTCTACTTACGCTCTCCCCCAGTTCCTGGCGGCACATGCCGCCGCCAGGATCCGTAGCCACGGAGCCAAGTGGAGGAGGTGCCTGAAGCGCAGTCAGAGTGTCCATAGGCACCAGCCACGAAGGAGACCTCGCAGGCAACGGGAGGGGCCACCGATGATAAGCAAAAGCTAGCACAACCCGGCACACTGCTGTGGCTAAAGATGTCCCACATCACTAAGATTTGGTGAGTCTTCATCTGCTTCATCTGGAGAAGATGCTTGCTTCTCATGCTGAAACTACCACGAAGGTGGCAGCAGCAGCAGCCATCAGCATCATACCCAACACAGGAACACTCGGCCCTAGTCCGAAGGAGTTGAGTGCAGAAGTTTGAGGCCAAGCCGCAAAAGCAGGGGAGAGCGAGCAAAGAGGTGTCATTATGGAAGGACCAAGAGGTGGTTCCAGCACAGGTCTCTACTCAGCTTGATTTGGAGAAGGCGGTGTGATTTCGACAAGTGTCAGTGGGTTCCTGAATCACGACGCCACGACGGACTGACGTCAATATGCATGGCTACCTGAGCTTCTCTGCGTCCCTCTGTTCCTTCTCTCGCATGGCCAGCAGGGATGCTTTTTGATACGTCTCCCTGTTTCAGTTTCGCTCTGTCACTGTGCTCCTTATCTTGCAAAGCGAAGTAGCCGTGATATTGACACATGTTGCATGAGTTTCAGTTGAATGCATGACTCTTTTTCAAGTTCCAGTGCCTCAGGTAAGCAGTTGGGTAAGATTTCAATATGCTAGACCATGTTCGGTGGTAAACATACTGCCTCTGGGGCGCACATTCTCCGTGTTCGGGGTCATGTACTCAAACAGGGGAGGCACAGTCCACAACAGTATTCCTGTACTGTGCACGTGCCACACAACACCTGGCGTGGTTCTCCCCGAGGGGAAGCGTGACCGTCGTTTGGGTCACCATCCTCTTGTAGCCCAAACGGGACTGCAACATCAGCAAGCATGTTCTTCTGCTGCTCAATCACAACAACCCCCTGCTTCCAGCAATGCTCATTGTTTTACTACTTTTGCCACTAATGCATCGCTATGTTCCTTCAGCACAAGGCCATGCAAGGCCTCATCAGGTTTTAGAGCTCTCTACTTGCATTTCATTGGGACACCCTAGTATCTGGATCGGGTAAGGCCGGTTTGTGAAACGGAGATTTGAAATCGGGGTCTTCTGTGTTTCTGAATCGGAAGGTTTAGTTTCTAGACCAGAGATCGAGTTTCTGAATCAAGTCATCTGAATCCTAGTTGTATATCTCTGAGAAAGCCATCTAGGATTCGGAAATCCTAGGTTCTGAATAAACGAACCCATGATCTAAATCCTGGCTTCTGAGTTGGTCCAGTTTCTGAATGGTACAACTGCAGGAGCCGGAGAGAGTACAGCACTTGCTTGGGATGGTGGGCCCTGTGACACCTCGGAAGATGCAAAGGAAGGCCGACCATCTCCTTCCACATCCACGTCAAACTGGACATCGTCCTCAGGCATCGGCCAAAGCTGCTCGAAATTCTTACATTGGCTGTTGAAAAGACATGTGCTGGTTGCAGAACCTGGAAAGCAAAACTAACACACAGCCTCGATGAAATCACCGCAGTTGTTGCGCAAGTACTTCCGCATCACCTTACCAGAGAAACCATGCCAACATGTTAGTAAAAAGGGTCCCTTGCGGTTCTTGCAGAACTGCAGGGATGCCGTGACTGCAAAGTGCTGTACTGCGCGGTCGCTTCACGATGATAGGATCCCAAAACAAATTGTCAGCCCACCTTGACAGGTTGCATTTCCCCAGCTCCCCAGCACTCTGGTATAAGATGAGAAGCGACGAAAGCAGGCATGGTCACCGCACTCAGGAAGAAAAGAAGGCAGAGGGAGCCCTGCACTGTCAGCTTGCAGAGCTTGGTTGCTGGACCGCTCACCTGGGAGCAGCTTCATCCTCTCACAAACTGGATTGCCTTATTAGATGTCATTCTTGGCCCACAAAATCTGAGCTTCCCTCACGAGCCTCAGCCAAGAAGAGAAAAAAGGCTTCTTTACGAGCGATACCATGCCTTCTCGAGGTTACCTAGATCCTGACACTGCGGCAGAGTGCGTTCTACAATCCATGAAGGGTATCCGGTATAACTATACTTAATCCAGGCTGCTGGCCCAGAGAAGGATTGTCAAATGCGACCATGTCACCTTGCCGAAGCGGAAGCACTCGAACTTCTCGACATCCTTGAGCAAGTACCTTGGCACTGGGAGCATGCTCAGTTCCAGGCCAGGAGCTGCATACCAGTGCATACACGTTGCAAGTCCAAATTCGCAGGGCATCGATGAATGGGTGAATTCTCGCACATCTTGTCTCTAAGTTCCCCCAGGGCTGGTTTTACTGGGTAATAGTGGCGGCATACAGTGATGTTCCCGCACGATGCGACAGGCTGTCCAGGAAGCTGAAAGTTGGGAAATGGCATGTCCAAAACAATCCCGACTCCGCCACAGCTCCGACTGGCAAAGCATTGCTGCAGTTCTTGGTGAAGGGGTCTGAAAGGTCCCGACATCCAATCAAACATGTCATAGAAGCTGCAGCCCATGTGATCCAAGGCCGTACCCAGTTGAGGGCTCAGGACAAGCTGAACGCAGTTGGATGCCTTTGCTCCTCCGCTTTCCAGCTTGATGCCAAAGTCAACCACTTTGAATAGATCCGGTACCGGAAGTCCAAGGCCTCAATTTCAGTCCCTGCTCTGCGGAACCTTGGGGAAACCTTAATCGATCCCATAACCGGCAACTGCACTCCCTGTCGTGCCTTCTCGGTGCTCCATCTCCGTGTTACCTTCGATGCGAGCCTTGCATTGGGGCCACTTCGCCTGACAGGAAAAGGAGCTCAGAGTGGAGGATGCTGAAAGGATCCTAGAATTGCAAGCAAGCGAGGCAAGCCACCATATGGGTAAGAGTGTTCATTTTTTTGTT